TCCATTTGACCCAGCAATCCCATTACTGGGTATATACCCAAAGGATTATAAATCATCCTATTATAAAGACACATGCACACATATGTTTATAGTGGCACTGTTTACAATAGCAAAGACCTGGAACCAACCCAAATGCCCACCGATGATAGACTGGACAAGGAAAATGTGGCACATATACACAATGGAATACTATGCAGCCATAAAAAATGATGAGTTTGTGTCCTTTGTAGGGACATGGATGAATCTGGAAACCATCATTCTCAGCAAACTGACACAAGAACAGAAAATCAAACACTGCATGTTCTCACTCATAGGCGGGTGTTGAGCAATGAGAACACATGGACACAGGGAGGGGAGCATCACACACTGGGGTCTGTTGAGGGGGGCAAGGGAGGGACAGCAGTGGTTGGGGAGGTCTGGGAGGCATAACATAGGGAGAAATCCCACATGTAGTTGACGGGGGGATGGAGGCAGCAAACCATATTGCCATGTGTGTACCTATGCAACAATTCTGCATGAGCTGCACATGTACCCCAGAATCTAAAGTACAATAAGAAAAGAGCCATTACTGGGGAGCAAGAGGTTCATTTGGAGGTAAGGAGACACTCTTGCTTTTTGAATTGCCAGAATTCAAAAGAATTCACTCTTTCCTATCTGGGACGGCTAGCATTTCTTTAACTGTGGAGTACACTGAGCACAGTCCATTGGCTTCATTTCTGGAAGTTTTCAGAAGGCTAAAGCTCTGTGCAGGGTAGCTGTTGCTAAATTCATCCCTTTCATTTCACAGAAGAGAGAGAATTAGTAGTCTTACTTAGTATTACAGTTTTAGCTGAAATCACTGTCAAGTCACTCTTAAATCCTTTCCTGAACAAAGCCAAAGAACAAGTTTAGAATTCACCTACATCAAAACATCCATCGGTGGTGTGGGTCCCTTGAAGCTAATAACACAGAGGTTGACAGTGAGTGAGCAGCCCCCTCAGTCCTTTCACTCATCCCTTCCCCAGGCGCAGTTTGGGAAAGGTAACTAGCCCATTTGGTGAAGGGGTGCTCAGACACCCCACACAGTATTCCTAGGTTCCTCTCTGGTCAGCCTCAGCATCAGCATCTTTTTTACTATCCACATTTGGTGTTTTTTTTTCCCCAAAGATCTGTCCAAATTATGTTGGTTTAGTCAAAATCCCAGTCTCTCTCTGTAGAAACAGCACTTCCTGGCTGCATCTAGTTGGCCATCTTGCCCCTTCACCAATCTTTATCACCCTTATACTGATAAGTTTTTCTTCACAGTATTCATCAATACTTGAAATTATATTATTTATTCATTCACTTTTTAAATAATTTATTGTTTGTCTTCCTTTCTAGAATGTAAGCTTCATGAAGTCAGGGACTCTGTCACTTTCTTTTTCCTTTTATAAACAGGGTTTTACTTTTTCACCCATGATAGATTGTAGTGGCCTGACCATAGCTCACTGCAGCTTTTGACTCCTAGGCTCAAGAGATCCCCCCACTTCAGCTTCCCAAGTACTTGGGACTACTGGCTCAGCCTCTTACTTCTTGATATACCTCCAGTGCCCAGTCAGTTCCTGGCACATGACAGATAACTCATGAATATTTGTTGCATGAGTCAAATTTACCAAGATGGTAATAATATTGTTTAGGATCATAAAGTTATAGGTGATTTTTTAACATATGTTTTTATACTTTTGATCATTTTTTAAAAACATTATATAAACCTTTAAAACTTCTGTAATTTAAAAATAACAATATCCAAATGCCATCAACTAGAAACTATTCAGTGAAAATGAATATTAGAAATAAGATCTACTAGGTTTCATCAGATTCTGCTCACCCAAATGTTATGAAAATTAAACATCCTTTTAAAATTTAATTTCTGGATTTTTACTACAAAGAGTATAGAAACAGCACAGGGACAATCTATGTCAGAGTTGAAAACTGCTTAGTCATCTCACCAGTTTTCCCAAATTTGTTGATTGGCAGCACCCTATTATTGAAACCTCAAGCCCAACTCTTGGTACCTCTCTCTCACTCCCCAGCCTCCTAACCCAGGGTTTAGCATATACTTACTGTTATTGAGTAGGGCCTCAATAAAGATATTTCACAGAAGTTACTAAAAGATAACTTTCTATTTCCTGATTAATTTTCAATCTTCTGTTATTTTCTAGAAAAAAAAAAAACACCAGTTGAGTGTTCAAGCATAAATCAAAAGTTAATGACTTGCATATGCACAAATATGTGAAAAGTAATATAAAAAGATTATTTTAATTTCCAATTTTACAATCCTTTATACCCATCTCCATTAAAGCAGCATAGCTTCTCTGCAAGTCAATGCTAAAACCAACCTGATGAGATACCTCTTCCTGATAATCAAGGACTCCTACCTGTAAGCAACAGAAAGTATCATAGACATCATGCTGCCCTTTCGCCCTCTTTCTATAGTTCTGCGTAAGAGAAAGTACAGCAAGAGACAAAGCAGCAGGAAATTAGGATTATATCTATTTATATATTTAGCTATGTATACATATATATTTACACATATATATATAAATATATAGTATATACTCTATATGTTAAAATAGCATATCTAGATAAATGTGTATATTATACATATAGATGTAGGCATACTTTATACTTATGAATTATAAATAGAGACATAATCATAAAATTGAATATGATTTTTCTGCTCATGGGTAGAAAGGAAAAGGCAGATTCTAATTTTAGTTTATCTAGTGAACATGCAGCCAGTGTAGGATCTGGTGTAGTTGAAAGTCTAGCTTTCTGGAGCCTATTCCTAGTGGGAGAAGGCTATAGAAACTTGTTGTCCAACAGAAAACTCTGCAACAACATAAACGTTCTACATCTGCCACTGTACAGTAATTAGGGTATCTCCTGTTCACATGTGGTTACTGAGCATTTGAAATGTGTCTAGTTTGAATATACAACTGAATTTTTAAGGTTAATTCATTCTAGCTTCATAAAAAGAAAGCAAAATTACCACCATACTTGCAAAGGGTGATGAGTGATATTTCTATCTTAAGGCTAAATGTGCTCTGAGAGTAAGCTGAATGAAAAGGAGGCAGTCTTTTAAGAGAAATGGTGATGGGACTAAGAAAAGAACCCCAGACACAGAATTAATAGATCAGGATCCCAGTCTCAGTCCTGTGAATAGCAAAACTTCATTAGCTAGGCCAGTTTCTTCTTTGCACCCTCTTTCCTCTCAAGCAAATTGAGTGGAATTGAATTATTTTTTAGTGGTGAATTGAGAAGGGATTTGATGTAATAATCACTATTGTAAAACAGGAATAGCAATCCATTTTTTTGGAGAGTAGTAAAAAGCAAAAGTTCAATAGAGAAATAAAGGCTAAATGTAAGTAGAAGAAGATAATTCATCAGAAACATTCATGGAAAAATCAAGTGATATTGCATGTAATGGTCACTTTGTTTATAGCTACTCAATGAAAGCATATTGTGGCTTAAATCTTGCACTCCGGGCTGAATATAATTTTTTCTGTTTTAGTTCTTACAACAACTCTATGACCTGGAGTATCATTATTATATTCATATTACAGAAAAGAAAACTGAGGCTCTGATATATTAGGCAAGCTGGCTAAAGTCATACAATTAAGAAGCATTGAAATTAGGATATGATCTCAAGATTGTATTTCTACTATGATCTTTTGTACCTAATATCTGCTATTTATAATGCTTATTATATAACCGGTACAATAGTAGCCAATTTCTGTATAATTATCTTATTTACAATAGCTCTGCCAACACTTTTGGAGAAACTAGCCCAAGAACTCCCCAACTCCATGCTTTGAGAGCTCCTGGCCTGTAGGAGGGATGCTTGGTAAGATTGCTTGGGATCAGAGAACACAGGTCTTGGAAGCATCTTCATATTATGGGCCTTATGGGTCTCTCTCTGCAACTATCAAATGTTCTGTTTTTCTTTGATCTAACTCAGTTTCACTTATATGAATTTAGTCTTCAATATCATCTTGATAAAATCTTGACTTGCAGTGATTCAGATCATTTCCCACTGTATAAAAAAGCAATTTTCAAGTGCCATAAAATATTCTTCAGGAGCAATGGTTTTTAATATTGACATTATCTGAGATTCTGAATAGCAGAAAAAAAGTGGACAGATGATACAACTATCACTTAACTGAAGCAAAATGATTATATGTACAATTTAGATGGCATAGCATGCCCCATCTGAGAGAGAGTGAGAAAACCACCTCCACATTATTTTGCTTCTTCATAGCTGATCGGAAACAGAAGGCCAGTTAAAGCAATTGGACACATCAACTTGATTTTCCTGAAATCGCCCTGGGAGAAGACACACTTAATCCTGATTTTAAAGAATAAAAGCCAGGGCAAAGCCAAGATTCTGAATTCCATGGAAAAAGTGGTGAGAATTTTTCCATAGAAATGGTAATCATTTCTTCTAAATGTTGAACTAGCTCAAGAATCTTAAGACATGTTTGCAAAAGGCACACTGAAACTGCATATCATGAATGCCATGGGTATGACATTCAGTCATCTGATTGCAATTGCTTTGGAAACAGATAAATTTAAAATATTATTGTAACTCTCTCTCTCTCTCTCTCTCTCTCTCTCTCTCTCTCTCTCTCTCTCTCTCTCTCTCTCTCTCTGTCTGTCTGTCTCTTTCTCTCTCTGTCTCTCTCTCTCTTCTCATCAAGGTAGAAGCTGTGATCGGCCAAACCTCCCCTTCCCACCAAGGTTACTACCGGATGGCCATATACTGGAAGCTTTTTCAACCAGCTCTGCTTATCCTATGGTTGAGGCACAAATAATTGAGAAACCTACCTGAGCAAGAGAGTTGACATTAAATTTGTTATAGACTTTATAACTCTCTTTTGGCTTGTTTCCATAAATATGATTTACTGAAGAGTTTTAGGTTTACTTTTAAAGTCACACTATATACCTTATATTAATCAGCTTCATAGATTTTTTTTTCAGACCAGGGGAACGTGTGAATGCAGTCCCCCACTTATTATGCAGTCGACTTTCCCACATTTGGGAAAATCGCAGGGGTCAGAACATCCGGAGTGCAATGGATAAGCCTCACCCTGGGAAAACCACCTTCGTGATCTTGGTATCTCCCCTGCCAGGTAAGTCAGCTTCATGTTTATATCCCACAGACATGTGTTGAGTACCTATGATGTGCAGAGCATGATCCTTCTGGATTTGAGGGATATTAAGAGGAAAAGTCCCACATTCTTCTCTAAAATAATACAGAGTTTATGAAAATGACATGAATTACCATGGTGATCTCGGAAAGTATGAACAGCCCCCTTCATGTTTAGCCACTGCCATTGCAACCACAGCCACCATTTCCAAATCTGTGACAATTGCAGTGGAAGGTGGGTTTGGGACTGGAAATACAACTACACATCAGACAAATAGAAACCAAAGGAGCATATCCAAATACAGAAAAGAATTGAGTATCCCCCATTCCCCAACCCCTGCTCCTTGGAGACAACACTATATAGTATGGATGCCGTAAGGTTATTCAACGGGTCATGCTGTAGTATTTATTTCAAAGGGGATATTTCGTGACATTAATAACTAAGGTACTATGTGCATTTTAGCTTAAATTTAAATGTTACACTATCGTAAAAGATAATAGATTTTTTTTTGTTTTAAGTTCTGGGATATATATGCTGAATGTGCAGTTTACATATATATACATGTGCAATGGTGGTTGCCTACACTTATCAACCCATCACCTAGGTTTTAAGCTCCACATGCATTAGGTATTTGTCCTAATGCTTTCCCTTCCCTTTCTCCTCATCCGCCAAAAGGCCCCATTGTGTGATGTTTTCTTCCCTGTCCCCATGTGCTATTGTTCAGCTCCCACTTATGAGTGAGAACATGCAGTGTTTGGTTTTCTATTTCTCTGTTAGTTTGCTGAGGATAATTGTTTCCAGATTCATCCATGTACCTGCAAAGGACATGAACTCATTATTTTTGTGGCTGCACAGTATTCCATAGTTTATATGTGGCACATTTCCTTTATCCAGTCTATCACTGATGGGCATTTGGGTTGATTCCAAGTTTGCTTTTGTAAATAGTGCTGAAATAAAAACACATGTGGATGTGCCTTTATAGTAGAATGATTTATAATCCTTTGGGTATATATCCAGTAATGGGATTGCTGAGTCAAATGGTATTTCTGGTTCTAGATCTTTGAGGAATCTCCACACTGTCTTCCACAATGGTTGAACTAATTTACATTTCCTCCAACAATATAAAAGTGTTCCTATTTCTCCGAATTCTCTCCAGCATCTATTGTTTCCAGACATTTTAATGATTGCCATTCTAACTGGTGTGAGATGGTATCTCAATGTGGTTTTGATTTGCATTTCTCTAATGATCAGTGATAATGAGCTTTTTTTTCACATGTTTGTCTTTATCAGTGTCTTCTTTTGAGAAATGTTTGTTTATATCCTTCTCTCCCTTTTTGATTTTTTTTCTTGTAAATTTGTTTAAGTTCCTTGTAGATTCCAGATATTAGCCCTTTGACAGATGGATAGTTTGCAAAAAATTTCTTTCTCCTATTCTGTAGGTTGCCTGTTCACTATGATGATAGTTTCTTTTGCTGTGCAGAAGGCCTTTAGTTTAATTAGATCCTAGTCATCAATTTTGGCTTCTGTTAACATTGTTTTTGGTGCTTTATTCATGAAGTATTTGCCCATGACTATATCCTGAATGGTACTACCTAGGTTTCCTTCTAGGATTTTTAAGCTCAAGTATTTACTCTATCTTGTGTTAATGCTTGTATAAGGTATAAGGAAGGGGTCCAGTTTCAGTTTTCTGCATATGGCTAGCCAGTTTTCTCAATATCGTTTATTAAATAGGGAATCCTTTTCCCATTGCTTGTTTTTGTCATGTTTGTCAAAAATCAGATGGTTGTATATGTGTGGTGTTATTTCTAAGGCCTCTTTCCTGTTCCATTGGTTATATGCCTCTTTTGGTACCAGTACCATGCTGTTTTGTTTACTGCAGCCTTGTAGTATACTTTGAAATCAGGTAGCATGATGCCTCCAGCTTTGTTCTTTTTGCTTAGGATTGTCTTGGCTATACAGGCTCTTTTTTGGTTCCATATGAAATTTAAGGTAGTTTTTTTCTAGTTCTGTGAAGAAGGTCATTGGTAGCTTGATGGGGATAGCATTGAATCTGTAAATTACTTTGGGCAGTATGGTCATTTTCATGATATTGATTCTTCCTATTCATGAGCTTGGAATTTTTTTTTTCCATTTGTTTGTGTCCTCTCTTATTTTCTTGAGCAGTGGTTTGCAGTTCTTCTTGAAGAAGTCCTTCAAGTCCCTTGTAAATTGTATTCTTAGGTATGTTATTTTCTTTGTAGCAATTGTGAATGGGAGTTCACTCATGATTTGAGTCTGCTTGACTATTATCAGTGTATATGAATGCTTGTGTTTTTTGCACATTGATTTTGTAACCTGAGACTTTGCTGAAGTCCTTTATAAGCTTAAGGAGTTTTGGGGCTGAGATGATGGGTTTTTTTAATATACAATCACAATCATGTCATCTGCAAACAAATAATTTGACTTCCTCTCTTCCTATTTTAATGTCTTTTATTTCTTTCTCTTACCTGATTGCTGTGGTCAGAACTTCCAATACTATGTTAAATAGGAGCTGTGGGATAGGGCATCTTTGTCTTGTGCTGGTTTTCAAAGGGAATGCTTCCAACTTTTAACCATTCAGTATGATGTTTGCTCTGGGTCTGTCATAAATAGCTCTTATTATTTTGAGATATTTTCTATCAACACATAGTTTATTAAGCACTTTTTGCATGAATGGGTGTTGAATTTTATTGAAGGTCTTTTCTGCATCTATTGAGATAATCATGTGGTTTTTGTCATTGGTTCTCTTCATGTGATAGATTAAGTTTATTGATTTGTGTATGTTGAACCAGCTTTGCTTCCCAGGGATGAAGCAGACTTGACTGTGTTGAGTAAGCTTTTTGATGTGCTGCTAGATTAGGTTTGCCACTGTTCATTTATACAATGGGGCCTTCAAATAAGAGGAAGTAATAGTATACTCATGAAGGAGAGGGTATAAATTTGGTCTAAATGTCAGAGACAAAATAGCAATTCAATAAGTGACTATATGTGGGAGTGATTATAGGAAAGAAACAGGCAAACATAGCTTCCATAGTGTCATTTTCCCTGCTTAAAAGCTCTCAACTATTTTTTTTCCAGCTTGTAGTAGTAGCTCATAATGCTAAGCCTGGAATTTGACATCTGTAAAGACAGAGCTTCAGTCTACCTGCTTTATTTCCGTTCAAATTTAAAATGTCACTGGCCACGAGTTCTTGTCATCCACCAAATATTCTCCATACTCTTTCATCTCCTGGCCTTTTCATGCCATTTCATATACCTAGAAGTCTTCCACTTAACTTTTTGGCCTGGCTTCAAAACTAATTCACATGTGGCCTTTTCCTCTAGAAAAAACTCCCTAATCATCTGCAGCACTAAGTTCTTGTTTCTTTGAATGTCCTTGGCAATGCATCTGCACCTCTTTTGTATCCTGTATCTTATCCTCTTCTCAACAGGGAAGCCTATTTTCCTAATATTTCAAAAGTCAGACCATGCTGCTCCTTCACTCAAAACCCTGCCATGGCTTGCATCTCATTCAGGCAAATTCCAAAGTCCCTAGAAAGCTCTATTTTTGTGTTTCTCAGTCGACCTCAGATATGACATCCATGACAGAAACTGTTACAAAAACATCTATGCCCAGGACTTACCCTACACCAAGTGAATCAAATCTCTAGGGATGCTATTTTTTAGACACTTTCAGGTGACCACTCCAAAACTAAGACAGAATTAATTGAAAACTGGAAGCCTATTCTGAGCTGAAGCTGCAAGAAGAATTGATTAACTGCATCCTATTCACTTTGTGTATTAGAGGCCCATTTTTACTATTGACATATTTCTTTAGCATGTCTGCTCATGCTTCAAGTTCTAGCTTCTATAAATAGGTCAACACACAAGAGCTTACTTAGAACACTGCACCTCTCAAAAGCTGTCAGTTTCTGTGATGTAGAAATATTTTTTTCCTCTGTAATGATAAAATTTGCCTTATCTGCAGAATAATAAAACATTTAAAAATAAATATTTAATTCACATTTGTGAAATTAGCAGTTAACACAAAGCCAAAGCTGTGAGGGTCACCAAGCATACTGGAGAAGAGAACATTATTAGAATCCAAGAAGCATTTGATAACATGAGGCTATGAAGTGAACTTAGTGAAATGAACTACAATTGGACAATCAGAAGCCAAATATATAAGTACTCAGTTTAAGAGATATAATGTAGAAGCAGCATGCATAAGAAAAACTTAGGGGATTGACTATTAGTCAAGCATACTGTGGTTCTCAAATATTAGCGTGTATCAGAATTACTAGAAAGATTTATTTAAACACAGTTTGGTAGGCTACACTCCTCAAGTTTCTTATTCAATAGATCTGAAATCAGGTCTGAGGATTTGCATTTTGAACAATTCTAGGTTATACTGATGGGGATGTTGTTGATATAGGGACAACTGTTTAAGAACTACTAGTGTATTAAGACTGTTAAAAAATAAAGTGACTGTAAATTTAGGCTGAAGAAATAAAATTTGTGCAATAAAATGGGAAATAATAAACTAGTAGAAGTATTCCCAATTAATTCTAATAGGTATCTATGAGATACCATATTCCTTTTTAAGTACTAATGGAGAATTACTGATGGTGAAGAGACATTCAAAAGTGCCATATAAGGAACTTCTAAAGAAATAAGTCCATGTGATTTGGAGAATATACAATTGAGGTGAGACAAAATAGCACGGCTCTCTTCAAATCTCTAAAGGCTATTATTTGGAAAACAGAGAAGATTTACTTTGAGTAGCATCATGGAATAAGACCCAGAATCCATGGCAAGACATCCAAGGAGACAGACTTCAGCCTGTAAAGCAGATACTTCAGAAGTAAGATATCACTAGCACCTGGAGCTGTCCTGCATTATGAAGCTCTGTTTCCCAACAGGTTAAGCTGTTATTAGTTGAGATATTCAAGCACAGATTGAAAGAAACCCAACCATCACATGTGGCTTAGAA